CTATCTTTCAGACTCCTTTGAGGTTGCTTTAAGGTTCTTGGTTTGTACTTGACAGGAATATGCAGACCCTGCTTTCAAGTTGACTCATAGACATAACTGTAGACATCTGGACATGTTTGTGTCTGTGTGATGTTCTCCACTGGGATGGTTGGGTATTGTCATAATAGGTCACCTGGTATTGCCCAGAATAAAAAATTCAGGAGACAGGGCAAGCAGGAAGTCTCAGCGCCCGTTGTGCTCCTGTCTCACAAACACGTCAGCATTTCTGCCTCATTCTGTTTATGAAAAAGGAGTCTCAAGAAAAGTCCAGACCAAATTCAAAGGGAGAGAACTTATGCTCTCTTTCTTGTATGTGTGTGCATGTATATATTTCTGTTTGCATGTTCAAGGGTGTTAGGGTGCCTATGTGTGTGCAAGGTGGACATGCAACCAGAGGTCAACCTTAAGTGTCATTACTCAGGAGCTGTTCACATTGTCTTTGAAATAAAGTCTCTCTTTGGCCTGGGGCTCACCATGTAGGCTAGGTTGGCAGGACAGCAAGCTCCAGGCCTGTCTCCACCTCCTCAGCTTGGGATTCCAACCACAAGCCACTTTGTATAACCTGTTAGGTTTTGGGCCTGAAATCAGGTGTTGTTTTCATGATGAGCATTTTACCAAGTAAGCTATCCCCCCAGGCCTCAGCTACTTCTTAAACAGAGAAATGCCATAACATTTGTGAAAATGTTTGAAAGATTTATGAAAACCTTGATATTGTCCATTTCAGTTTATAGAATCATCAGATAATTACTTTATTCTGATCTGAGCAGTGCCAGATATTTTCTAAATTCAACATTTCAAATCTTTTTCAGTTTACTTGTATACACGAAGTAAAACTGAGAAGCCCAAGTGGTTTCAGATTACAAGCTTTGAAGATGAAAACTTGGTGAAAATTGTGTGAAGACATTTTGATCTCAGTTTGAGAAAACCACTCTTAAATTCTAGTGAAACATAAACTTTCAGTTACTTATTACCCATCGCCTATATAGTCACTCTGGGGAGCTGGCGTACTTGTATCTGTGAGTCACTTTGCAGCACATCATTTCTTTGTTTTCTGGATATGCGATAGTACCACTGTAGGCAAATTTCTGTTTAAACATTTGTAAGTAATGTAATCCATTGGATGGTAGTGAGGCTACCGTTTCAGTTGTTTATTGTCTTTCTATGACTACAGAATACATCCTCAGCAAGCAGTAGGCGATGCCGTTTTATTTTTTCTTCTCAAAGACAAAGGTTGGCTGTGAGGAAGGAGGGCAAGCCTTCCTAGAAGGTAAGCTCAGAGTTTGCTGGGAAACTAGAAATTCTACCTTTATTTCTGTTCATGTTATTTTCATTTTGAAACCTGAATTGACATATCCAGTTAGTGGTTGCTCTCAGATATTTCAATAGGTCTTATTATATTGATGTTGATCTTTTAAGGTGAATCAAGGTATGGGGAGCATATGTACACAGCCATTCATTGTTAAAGGACTTGAGGTTCTGCAAGCTCATGTTCCCATGAGGAGCTGATGCCGTGTCAGAGCTGATTGCTGACAGCATCGAGGCTTCCCGTCATTCAAACATTGTTTTTCCACATTTTCAGTGAACATAACTATTGATGTTAGTTTTACCAAAATGGACTTCTCGCCCTATTTTATTGAGACTGCATCCATAATACTGAGTCGTGCTAGATTAACATTCATCCTACTCAGAACAGGGTCAGTAGCATTCACAGTAGAAGTGGATGTGATTAGAGTTTTAAATTTTCTACAAGGACATGGTTTTTATAGTATATTATTATATGTGGTATATGATATCACACATGGGAGCGAAACTAAAAAGCCAATTAATTTCTTTGAAGTATTGTGATTTATTTTTTTACATTTTCTATAATTTATTGGGTTCCTAAATATTGCTTGGTATTTGGGACTGATATCATAAATTATATGGGATTAAATTTTGAATATAATGTGAGTCATTATTTTAACAAAATTTAATACTTATTTTTACTCAAGAGGTTTAACATATGCAAATAGGCACATAAAACTATTGTTTTGGCAATTCTGAATATTATAAATAACTTTTAGAACCTGTCTCAGAGGATCTGGGCAGGGTGACACGCATCTGTTATCCCAGCAGTTGGGATATGAAGGCAGGAGGATCAAGGGTTTAAGGTCATTCTCAATGACATAGTGAGTTGGAGATCTGTCTTGGCTTCCTCAGACACTGTTGCAAAAAAAAAAAATCAAACAAACAGACAAAATTTGTTTTAAAGAACACTTATAAATTTCTACCTTATAATAATCCACCTGTCAGGGACCTGTGTATCCATGTATGTGTCTGTGTGTATAAATATGTGTCTCTGTGTGTAATTCTCTGTGTGTGTGCTTCTGTGTTTATATATATTTGTGTGTATATCCGTATGATGTGTGAATGTGTATCTGCAGGTGTACAAATGTGTTTCTGTATATATGTGTGTGAATGTGTGCAAGTGTAAGCTTGTGCATGTGTGTATATTTGTATGTATGCATGTGCATGTGTTTGTTCATATGTGTATATGTATGTTTCTGAATATGTATTTGTAGGTGTTCATGCATGCGGGAATGTGTGTACATAAGAGTGTATGTATGCGTGTTGGGAAGGTATTTCTGGACATATACAGAGAGAACATATGTCAACACTGATTCCTGTGACATTCTTTTCTTTTCAACCACAGTGAATTAAGAAATGCCTAGGAGATTAGCACTCATCTTGAGTGTTTTTGTCCTGGCTGTTCCAGAGAGGACTATATCTTGAGGACTTCAACATATTAATAGATTAATCCATGGATGGAATCAATATGAGAATAGAGTATTGGGACATGGGGGGACTTCCTCCTGATCGGAGAAGGTGGTCACTGATTGGTGTCATTAGGAGCTATGCTTTACCCTGATTCCTTCCTGTAGCTGCTTCTCTCTGCATTGATGTGCTTAACCTCTGGAATCTGCTCCACCACTGTGTTGCTCAGCATCAGCACAAGCCCAGAATCAGGTGTGGCCAGGCCTTATAGTGCGAAGCTCTGAAACCATGAGTCAAAGGGTAACCTTCCTCTCTAAGCTGTATAAGTCAGTCATCATGTCACAAGAATGTTACAATTGATTAATATAGTGTAGGCAGTAAAGGAATTTTCTCAAAGCTAGAAAGATAATAAGAGGTATTTTTAAAGGGGATTCTTGGCTGAAAAGTAAAAATGCATTACCTGAAGAGAATTTATTTTTGACAACCTCCAAATCAAGAAATAATTGTAAAAATGCTGATAAAATTAATAGATGAAGGACTATAATTAGGAAAAAGCTAAACCCAAAGAAAACTATGGAAACAGGGATTCAGCATTACAACAGAGCCAGGAATGCCCAGCAGGTAAAACCAAGGAACACTTTGTACATGCTGGACATGGCCCAAGATTTTAATTTTGACAATTGTGCAGAACTCAGCTTTTTAAAAATGACATTTAGGTACATTTATAAGGAATTTTTATATCTTTGTGATGTGTGCAGAAATATTTATTATCTGAATTTACCAACTACAAAAATGGTTATAGAGGTTACGATAGCATTTTGACAGCATTAAATGACGGGTTAAAGCAGTTCTTTATATCCCCCTGCCAAGAAAAAGGGTCATTCATTCTGTTAATAATTTTTAAATTTAAACCTTTGTCATTTTTATTCACATTTGATTTTTATAAGAAAAGTTCTCAGTAGGTGGCCCAGGCTGGTCCCCAAATTACTAGGCAGCTCAGGCTGGCCTGGAACTCATACCCTTCCTGCCCCAGCCTTGCATGTGCTGGGTATAGAAGCATGCACTGTCACATATGGCTCTTTTTGAGCCACCTATTTCATGATTAGAAAAAAAAAGGTGATAAAACATACTTGCTGTGTTGAAAATAAATTTTAAAATGTTTTCTACTAATAAATCTTATCTTTGTGAATAGCTATTACCAAAACAAAACAAAAGCAAAGCAAACAAACAAAACAGACATTTGCTTTAGGAAGTGGAGAAAGGCCAGGAGTGTTATAGGATGTAGAATTTTTATAATTTGCACACCTCAATTTAAAAATATTAAAAATTTTAAAAATATTCACATGGACCTTATATAAATAGTATAACTTTTGTAAATTATTTTCATCATATCATGATATTTAGAAGTACAAGTAAAAAATCATAATTCTCAAGTGTTGTAACAAATTGTAGTCTCTGCAATTCTAATAAAACCTTTACCCTGACAGGCTGACCTCTAGGCCCACTATTCACAAAACAGAACGACGATCCTCAGCATAGATAATTTCTTCGTGGTATCATCTCTTACATCTTTTCAAGAACTCAAGTTCTCTTGTGAATGAAAACTTACATTTCAAAAACTAGTTCCTAAGAGCAATAGAGTTGAGGTTGATAATTCATTCTATAGAACGTTACAAACCCTTAGCTTCACAATCTCGCTTCCCTGGGAACTACGTTTCCAGAAGATGGAACAAAAGGAATGAATTAAGACTCAAACATTGGAATTTATGGTCATAGAAGGCAAGAGTTTGGGGTAGACAGAGTCATTGCGATCATTGTTCAAATGGACCCTGTTAAGTATGCCGATGCTTTAAAACCAGAGTTTAGGCAGATCTGACTTCATGGACAGACACACAAGGCCTTTGTTTTAGCACTGCAATGGAGCCCAGAAAACAACCATAAAGCATTACAACCCTCAGGAAGCCCAGGATCAATAACAGTAAATTTAGAATTGCTAACAGCAATACGTGCCTGATCTGGGCCATCTTCAGAGTGTGTTTTCTAAAGTTAAAAAAGAAGAAAACAAAAGAACAAATCTCACAGAGACGTACAGCTTGAATATACCTTCGATGTTAATGGAACAGTAACTTTGCTAGGCCTTTAACGGGTCAGAATTAATCAACTACTAATCAATAAGTGCAGCTTCACCACAGAATTGCTGTACTTACCCATGATGGTTAAGGCTGTAGCTTTTGTTAATTCTTCCTTCATTGACTCTATTACTTCTAAATTACCACCATCCAGGTTGCATCTATTTATGGTTCCATTTCCCGAACTGATCCAATAGAGCTTGTTTTCCACATAGTCTATCGATAGACCTGTAATTAAATTAAATAACTTAAACATAAAAGCAGTCAGTTAAATTGCAATATTCACCTACAATCTCTTGATTGGAGGGGAAAAATAGTTGAAAGTTCACATTTCTGTCTCAGAAAATAAGACCCATTTAACAGAGAAATTGAGCTATGATGTCTTAACCAGCTGAGGAACGTTATACTTTCATACTATACTTTCATATCTCCAGTAGCTGATGATCAAAGTGATCTTGTGACACTGAAAAGAATGTTAGCTCCATTTTCCAGATATGAAAAACAATAATGGAAGAAGTTAAGACACTTGTCTTCTCAACACAAATAGCTGTAATTTTGAAATGCTCTGTAAAATTCTGGTCCACACAGAAACAGTAACTGTGTACTGTGAGCTCACTGTGAGAAGGGCTTGGGCAGATTCAGGAGTAGCTGCAAACTGCTCCTCAGCTCTCCCCAGGAAAAGAACAAACAACCCTCCCAAAACAAACAAATAACCAAAAGGTAATGACAGAGAGGAAAGGAGCGACAATTCAAGAGACCACATGAGTTGAAGTGCAGCAAGAAAGGGTCAAATGGCTTGAACAATTCTTGACTGCAGCAAGTCACAGGCAAGAGAGTGGCACTGACTTGTTAGAGCGGTTCTAATCAAGCAGAAATCATCCAACTTGTCTGTCTAGCGTTTCAACTATGTACTGACTTAGGTGTGTTCTGTGGAGAGATGGCCACAAAGTTCTTCTGAAACACCACAATGTATAAAGTTAGATATTTCAGAGATGTAGATTTTAGATTTTTTGGTGATGAAACTGGGTGATTTAAATTACTAAGGAAACTAGTCAAAGAAAAAAGCTATCAGATGAGAGACTTTCAGTGTGAAAGTCTTCACCATTTAGCTTGTGTAAGAAGGACACTTTGAGTGTTCTGCAGGACCCCAAGCCACCATGATTCATCTTTCCACTAGGATTCAGAGTTTAGATCACTTAATTTTCAGAGTTGGCCCTATTTGACCTCTGCATAACTGTCCAAACACCAGATTTCATCTTTAGACATTACTACAGGTTAATGGGACCAAGAACGGTAAAACTTCTGTTGCTAAATTTTCCAAAGAATTGCATAAATATGCATATTTATAGATAATTATTTTTAAATGTGCATTTTGTCTATATTCATGAGAATGCTAAATCATATCTGCCAATCAAGCTAGTAGCCCGAGAACTTTTAGAACTTTTAGATGGCTGCTTCTGCCCTCCCGATTCCCTTGCCGAACTGAACTTTGGCATATTGCCCTCGGTTTGAAGGAGAGATGCTGTTCTGAGAATACACAAGAAAACCTCTGTTAGACTTTCTTCAATGTTATGTATGAAGGCAGTACATCATACTGTGACCTCTTTATCCATGGACCCACGGGAGACATTTTTTTCAGGGCCCTGTGCCAGAAAAAGCTATATGTAGGAAATATAAAATTTTAACTGATCATATTTCTGTCTTTGCTTTGGCTGCAAAGAACGCAGTCAGATTTGTGACCCATCTCCACTCATCATAAAGGAATTGCATTTACACTATCAGCTTTACTCCAGTACTGATAGAGTAATCTATTATTTTCTTTCACCTGGATTATTGAAATCAATATTCTTGTCTAGCTTTCCTTATAGAATGTATTTGTTTAAGTTTCTTTACTCTCCTTTGTGGAAGGAGGGTGGACTTTCATATTGAACACATATAACTCCAAATTAACCTTTAAGGACAGAACTTTTTCATCCACTGAATATTCAATAGTCTCCCTAATAAGTGTTACACAACACAGAATTCAACCCAGAGTAAAATGACAGTTGGGCCACAGAATTTCAGAGTCTGTTATGCATGCTCTCCTTCTGAGCTGTGAGAATACACAGAAAAGTGACTGTGACAGCTTATTACATGATACCAAGAAAAGATAATCTGTAAATACTGAATGGATATTTAATTGAATCTACCATGGTATCTATAGGATATCTAAGAAAAACAAAATTATGAAATTTGCAGGTAAATGAATGGAACTAGAAACTCTTATATTAAGTGAAGCAACACAGACTCAGAAAATTTTTTCCAAGTGAAGTATGTTTTCTCTCATTCGTGGATTTTAGCTCCAAATCCATATATGTCAGTGAGTATCCTGATGCAACCTCAGGAGCCAGGAAAATTGAAAGGAATCATGAGAGTAAAGGGGAAGAAGGAGCTCTAGAGAGGAGTATAGAAGGAGACAGGTGTTATCAAGGGGGCAATGGGGAAAATGAAGGATATTTCACCTGAGGAGGGATAAGAGAGGCCATACAGGGTAAGAGAGAAGAGCTATAAAAATGCTTAGGTAGTGTGAAAAACCAGAAGGAATTATTTTAGTTCAATAGTTTACTGAGAAATTACACATACAATACCTGTACATATACATGTACAGCTGAAGGCTATGTAACAAAAATATGGTGCCAGGCCCACCTGGCCAAGTTGTCCCAATAACATGGTGACTATCTCATGAAGAATAATATCTGAGGTTGACCTTTAGAATCCAGGTACATGCACCTAAAAATGCACACATGTGTACTCATATGCACAAATAATAAAATAGACATGTGGGCCAAAATCCTGGCACAATGGAATTTTTTAAATATGTTATTTATATCCAGAAAGCATGACAAATGGAAGGTGATTCAATATGGCTGTTGTACGGCTTAAGAGTGTTCACAGGCCTATTGGGATTGAACAGTTCCAGATGAATAGTTTTGAGATTCACAAAACTTCCTATATTAATTAGTGTATGCATATGATGTCACCTAGTCTATCCATATATCCCCTTTGAAGTAGTTAGGGATTTTAGTAAAATATGTGAATATTGTTGAGTGTATTCATTTTCCTGGTTGAGAACACAGAAATGATGTTCCCTACAAATCCTCTTGTGAATTTAAGAAATTAGCATATAGGCCAGCAGACAGCTCAGCAGATGTGACTAACATGCAAGATTAGCCACCTGATACGATCCCTGGAGCCCACTAATGATGGAAGGAGAGACATAGGGACATACTTCTAAAAGTTGTCCTTTAACCTTCATGAATGAACAATGGCACACACATCAAGTACACACAATCAATAAATTAATTAAAAAAGAAATTAGTAAAGTATGTGTTATATACACCAATATAAGCATGTTTAGAGATTCATTTACAAGTTATTAATATATGTCCTTTTGCATCAGAAGATTTTTTCACTTGTCTGCATCATATACAAATAACACTGAAAAATTAATATATGTATTTACTGAAATAATTTCTAAATGAAATCAGTTTTTGTGCAAATATGCCAAAGGATAAATCACTAAGCAATGTATGAATAGCTTTTTAATGTAACAGAAGTAACCAATGACACTAGAATGTATGATCAACAACCATGAGAAGAAAAAGTCAAATGTGAAAATGTTTATAAAACGTTCCTGGAATGTATATAGACACATATAATTATAGTATAATGGAGGGTCTGTAGACTTGCTGAATGAGAATTAAAAATCTTACAGATAGAAGTATGGTACAGCTAAATTAAAGTGACCATTCAAGCAAACACTTGCCCTGTGATGTGAAAGTGAGGTGTGATGTTTTTATGTATGTGTTCATTACAAGAAAGGTGATTACAAAATATTCACAGAATGCATGTGATGAATATACTAATATTACTATCCCCTATAAAGCACTAATTAATTTTTAAAATCACATATGGTTAGCAGAGAAGAAAATCTAGATTAAGCAATATACCAAGTGAATGTGAGAAAAAACTATCACCTAAATTGGAAAACACTTTTGAAAAGAAAAACCTTTACTTTCTTCTATATTTTACAATTACTTTACAATTAAAAGCTGAGTTAATATTTATGCCTTGATTCTTACATTAATTGCTGTATTCCAAATGAAATTTCGTATATTTTTTATTTGAACATTTTCATTTAGAGAAGCCATATTTTTTTGAAGGAGTATAATTTGAAATACTTATACTTACATAATTTCTCTCATTTCAGAAATAATGCACACATGAATGTATAGAAAAGTAGCATAATCTTTTAAATAAACTTATTTAATGATATATTCCTTTCATTATTAATAATATGTTTTAAAGGTTGTAATAATTACAGTTGGTGAGTTTATGTGTCTCATTATTTTCTTTTTAAAAATGTATCAAAATTAAATCAGTATACTTTGTAACAAGGGACAAAAATTCAAATGTGAAGGCATTTAGAAGGTATTTTTTTAATAAGATTAAGACATTCTAGAGATGGAAATTACCCAATATTATTCCATTGTATACCAAATTTCACTTCAAAATTCTCCTCAATTATGTTTTAATTATCTGTAAAGCTACTAAAAATACTGAACCATTGGAACTGTACAAAAAAATCGTATTTCAAATGTCCTGAACTGAACATAGAGATTAGCATTGTTTATAGAAAATTCCCAAGTCATTTATTTCTTAGCCAACAGACTTCTGTTGCTATTTATTTATTTGGTCCTGAGAATTGTGCTCACAGCCTTTCCTATACTATGCAAACCTTGTACCACTGAGCTATGCTCAGATCTTCCCAAACGATTTTAGAATACTAAGTTTAAGGAATTTTTAAATAACTTGTACTTTAATAACTGCTCAGTTTGTGTTTTTAGTAAGTTCCTTCAGGCCTCTTAAATTTTTCTGTAAAGAATATCACAAAGGTGAGACCTTTGGGACAGAAGAACCGTAAAGATTTGGCGACAAAGAAGGCAGACTATGTACATTAAAACGTGAAAAACTGACTTCTGGCCCCCTAGACTGGCATGCTAAACATCAGAATTTAAATGTCCTTTTTTCAGTATTGTCGTCCTCGTGAAGGACAAAACAGTGTCTACTTCTGGAACTAAAAAGGGTATAGAAATTGGTCACTGAAAGTACATTCAGAAAGTACACAATTACTGGAAGTCCCGCCCTATACTAATATATGTCTCCAAATCCTGTGTCTGAAGCATGTTCTGCCTTCAGCAGTAGGATCTTACTGGGAGGTCATCAAGGACTGTGGGAATAGCCCGTGGAATTTTGGGGGTCTCGTGGACCACTGTGGCCAACAACTCATGGAAGATTTCTCCTGTCTGGTGCAGTTTCCTGTTATGTGGCCTTTCGCTATGCACATGGACTCCTGTAGAGATACTGTATGTGTAATTTGTCATTAGGTTATTGGACTAATATGATTCCCTCTGGTTTCTTAAGAAATCAACAAATTTAAAAAAGCGTTATATTTGAGGAGGAAGCATTAAAATTTACGTCATGTTGATTAGTAAAGGTGATAAATATTACCACTGAAATCTGCCCGATGACTTTATAGACATACACAGGTGCCAAGGATCCGAGTGCAACCAACCACGACTAGTAATAATTAGATACACACAGATTAGAGATGCATGTGCCAACATCTAAGTGTTATTAGCAAAAACAATGAGTCTTTCTGTAAGAAACAGTATTTTAAAAATGAAATGGGGACCACCGCAGTCGATCCAAACCTTTTTGTCTATGCATGTTAAAAAAAAATTATTCTTTGCTCTGGAAATTATTATTGAGTATGTTAAAGCTGTAATGAAATGCTTCTAAAAAATAAAAAAAAAATTAATGTAAAAAAAAACTATCCAGGCATTATGTGTAACTCATCATAAGTCTCTCTCTCTCTCTCTCTCTCTCTCTCTCTCTCTCTCTCTCTCCCGTCTGCCTGTCTAACACTTCTACCATGGTTTCCCCATTTAATATGTCCCCATTTTCCTACTTTCTCCCTTAATAATACCCGTCTCCTCTGGTCCCACCTTAGTGCCTTCTTTTCCTTTTCCCCAAGGTTCCTTGTATAACCCTGGCCCCTCCCGTTTAAATAGCTCGGGTTTTATACATTTCTCCCTTAGCAACACCTGTCTCCTACTGTTCTTCTCACTCAGGTTTTTCCCTTTGCCTCCCTGGTTCCTTTCATTTTCCTGGTTCCTGTAGTTACGTATGGACACATACTGATATAAAGGATTTGATGCCAGGACGTGCATATGAGGAAGAACATGTGTCTTTTGTTTTTCTGAGTCTGTGTTACTTTGCTTAACATAACTGTTTCTAGTTCCATGGATTTACTTGCAAATTTCATGATTTCATCTTTTTTTTAACCACTGAGTAGAATTCCATTGCATAAATGTAACACGTTTTCACTATCCACTCGTCAGTTGAGGGACACTTAGGTTGCTTCCATCACTCAGCTATTGTGAAAAGAGCAGCAACAAACATGGATATACAAGTGTTTCTGCAATAGGATGAGTTCTTTGGGTATATGCCAAGGAGTGGTATAACTGGGTCAAATGGTAGGTTCATTTATAGTTTTTTAAGAGTTCTCCACACTGCTTTCCATAGGGGTTGCATGAGTTTGCATTCCCACCAGCAGTGGATAAGTCTTCCCCTTCCCCCACATCCTTTCCAACATTTGGTATCATTTGTTCTCTTGATATTAACCAGTCTGAATGGGGTAAGATGAAATCTTAAAGTGGTTTTAATTTGCATTTCCCTAATTACTAACGATGTTGAACACTTTTTGAGACGTTTCTTGGCCATCTTTATTCCTTCCTTTGAAAACTCTCTGTTTAGATCTTTAGCCCATCTTTTAATTGGGTCATTTGGTTTCTTGCTTCTTTAATTTTAAGTTCTTTATATATTCTGGATGTTAAACCTTTGTCAGATGTGTCACTGATGAAGATTTTCTCCCACTCTGTTGGTTTTCTTTTCACTTCCCTGGTTGTTTCCTTTGCTGTATAGAAGTTTTTTTTTGTTTAATGTGGAACCACTTGTTGATTCTTGATCTTAATTTCCTGAGAAATTGTCTATTTTAGAAAGTCCTTTCCTACACTTATATCTTGTAGGTCATTGCCAATGTTTTCTGCTAACAATTTCAGAGTCTCAGGTTTCACATTGAGGTTTTTGATCCATTTTGAATTGACTTTTGTACAAGGTGAAAGATAAGGGTCTAGTTTCATTCTTCTACAGGTAGAGATCCAGAGTGCCAGCACCTTGCTGAAGATGCTGTCTTTCTTCCAGTAAATGTTCTTGGCCCCTTTGTGAAATATCAGGTGGCTGCTGAAATTGCATGTACTAATGTATATGTCTTCAATTAGTCTGTTTTTGTTCTAGTACCATGCTGTTTTTATTACAATAGCTCTGTAGTATAGTTTGAAAACTGGTATAGTAATCCCCTCAGCATTGCTCTTTGTGCTCAGGTTTGCTTTGGCTATCCAGGGCCTTTTGTGCTTCCACATAAATTTTAGGATGTTTTGTTTCTAATCCTGTGAAGAATGTCATAGGGATTTTTATTGGCATTACGTTGGAATATACAAGTGGCTTTTGGTAGAATGGCCATTTTTACAATATTAATTCTTTCAGTGTCTGAACATGGAAGGTCCTTCCATCTTCTAGTGTCTTCCACAATCTCTCTTTTTTTTTTTTTTAAGATTTACAGTTTTCATTGTAGAGATCTTTAATATCTTTGTTAGGTTTATTCCAGATTTTTTTTTTGAGGTTATTGTGAATGGGAGGGTTTATGTGTACTTTTTCTCAACTGCTTATTATTGGTATTTAGAAATGCTACAAAATTTTGTAGATTAACTTTATACCCTGCCACTTTACTGAAAGTGTTCATCATTTCTAGGAGTGTTCTGGTGGAATTTTGGGCATCTCTTAGTTATAATAACATATCATCTGCAAAGAGAAATAATTTGATGTCTTCTTTTCCAAATAGTACGCCTTTAACGTTCTTCTCATCTTACTGCTGTAGCAAGAGTTTCGATCACTATATGAAAAAGGAGTAGAGATAGTGGGCAGCCTTGTCTGTTTCCTGATTTTAATGGGCGTGCTTCCAGTTTTTCTCCATTTAGAATGGTGTTAGTTGTGGGTTTGTTGTAAATAGCTTTAATTATGTTGAGGTATGTTCCCTCAAGTCCAATTATATGCTTTCTCTGCATGTATTGAGATAACCATGTGGTTCTTGTCTTTGAGTCCATTTATGTGATTTATGATGTTTATTGACTTATGTATATTGAACCATCCCCACATCTCTAGAATAAAATGGACTTGATCATGGTGGATGATCTTTTTGATGTGTGCCTGTATGAGGTTTGCAAGTATTTTTTTAAGAATTTTTGCATCTATGTTCATTAAGCATATGGGTCTATTGTTTTCTTTTTTGGTTGTATCTTACTTGGTTTTGGTATTGAGTGATACTTGCTTCATAGAAGGAATTTAGAAGTTCTCCCTCTGTTTCTATCATTCTGAATAAATTAAGTAGTGTTAAATACACATCTTTAAATGTCTGGTAGAATTCTGCTGTGAAACCATCTGTCCTCAGTTTTTTTTTAAGTTGTGAGGTTTTGTATTACTGTTTCAATTTTTTATGAGTATGGGTCTGTTTAAACTGTTTATCTCTTCTTGCTTTAGCTTTGGCAATTCCCATGATTTTAGATACACATCCACTTCTTTTAGATTTTCAAATTTAATAGAATATAGGTTTTTAAAATATTCCCTAATAATGTTCTGGATCTTTTTTGTTGTCTATTATGATGTTTCCCCTTTCATCACTGATTTTGTTGATCTGCATTTTCTTTCTTTCTTTTGGTTAACTGGGCTAAGGGTCTGTCTATCTTGTTTATCTTTTGAGAGAACCAGCTTTTAGATTTGTTGGTTCTTTGTATTGTTTCTATTTCATTAATTTCTACTCTCATTTTTGTTATTTTCTTGTCTGTGGGGTTTGGGTTTCATTTGTTGTTGCTTTTCAAGTGTCTTGATTTGTAATGTTAAGTCATTTATTTGTGTTCTTTCGGAACTTTTAATGTAGGCACTTAGAGCTATAAACTTCCCTCTTAGGACTGCTTTTAAAGGGTCCCAGAGGTTTTGCTGTATTGTTGTGTCCTTTAGATGTAGTTCCAGTAATACTTTTATTTCTCAATTTCTCTTTTGACCCATTTATCATTCAGGAATGTGTTGTTTAATCTCCATGAGTTCATGTAGTTACTACGTCCTACTCAGTTGTTGATTTTAAGATTTATTGCACTGCAGTCTGAGAGAATGCATGGAATTATTATTTTTTTCTTTTTCTTTTTATATTTGTTGAGGCTTGCTTTGTGCCTCAGCATGTGGTCAATTTTGGAGAAAGTTGTATGGACTGCTCAATAGAAAGTATGTTCTTTGGTGTTTGGGTAGAATATTTGGTAGATGTGTTTTAGGTCCATTTGATATATGGTATTGCTCAATTCAGATGTCTCTGTTTATTCTCTGTCCTATTGTCCTATCTAATGGAGACAGTGGGGTATTGAAGTCCCCTACTATAAGTGGGTTGGGATTAATCTGTATCTTAATATTCTGTAATATTGCTTTTAAGAAGTTGGGTGCACCAGTGTTTGGTGCATATATGTTCATGACTGTAATATCTTCTTGGTCAGTTGTTCCTTTGATCAGAATGAAGTGGCCCCCTTTATCTCTTCTGATTAGTTGTAGTTTGAGTTCTGTCAGATATTAGAATTGCAATTCCTGCTTTTTTCTGAGTACTATTTCTTGGAATATTCTTTTCCATTCTTTGACCTTAAGGTAGTGCCTGTCCTTGAAGGTGAGATGGGTTCCTTGCAGACAACAAAAGGACAGATTTTGTTTCTTAATGCATTCAACTAGTCTGTGTCTTTTGACAGGGGAGTTCAGTCCATTTATTTTTAACATTATTATTGAAAGATGTGAATTGATTCCTGTCATTTTATTTTCTGAAAAAGTATGGAATGCTTTATGAATTTTCATGTCATCCTTACACAGGGGCCATGCTAATATCTGTATCATTCCAATATTTATTATACATGCTGCCAGAGTGAGCACTTATTTATTATTTTTATTTTATGTGTTTGAGTGTTTTCATGTATGCAAGTTGTGCACCCATGTCCTGCAGTGCCTGCAGGGGTCAGAATAAGACATTGGAATCCCCTGGAACAGGAGTTACAGATGGTTGTTAGATACCATGTGGGTGCTGGGAATCAAATCTGGGTCCTCTGCAAGAGCAGCCATTGTTCTTAACTGCTGAGTTATCTCTCCAGCCCTGATTCTTAATTTCTTTTATGAATGGGACTAAGGAACCTCTAGAAGTCACTGTTTCTCCCCGGTATTACTTCAGCTCTGATGGATGGGGCAGTAATACCATGAGAGAAACAGCATAACCCTACCTGCCTACCTACAACATTCTCAAGGACTACTCTGTACTTCCTGAGAATAAAATTTTAAGATAGATAATAAAAGAACAAGAGAAATCCAAGTGTTCTTTCTCTCTGTTATAACCTGGTTTCTTTCTTAAGTGAACTTACATGTTGAAGGACAGTGTTGCAGCCCTTCCTATGCACTCTTGGTTGTCTTACATTTCCAGTGTGAGTTGGTAACCATAGGAAGCACAGGGGCAGGAGAGATGGTTCAGTCTGCAAAGTGCAAGCTATACAGATATGCAAGGCTCAGAATTTGACCCCCAACACCCACTTAAAAAGACAGGTGTTGTAGAGCATGCTCATAATCCCAGGGATGGGAAAGTAGAGACACTGAATGACTGGGGCTCACTAGGCATCCAGCCAAGTCTAATCTGTGAGCACCAGGTTCCAGTGAGAGACCCTGTCTCTAAAAGCAAGGTGAATGTTTCTGAAGGAATAGCACAAGAAGTTGACCTCTAGCTTCCTGAGGAATAACACAGGAAGTTGATCTCTGGCTTCTACCCATGCCCAAGAAACACACACACACACACACACACACACACACACACACACACACACAGGTCACTTCCTGAAATGATGGTGCCTAGCACACAGAAAGTCCTCTGTAAATGGTAGGTATTTGTTATAAATGTGTGGTAAAAGACATGGTTACATCTAGTCAAAAATATTTGCAGTCTTCATATCCAACAACAGACAAGAACCAGTAATAAGAGAAATACCAAATTAATCAGTTAAAAAAAAACTCCATTGTAAAGTAGGCTAAGATATAAACAGAAAAATAAAATACATAGATGACAACTGGGCACATAAGAAGGTATTCAGCATCATAAAAACTTCAAAGTAAAACCATAATGAGTGTTGCTGTATGTCTATAAAAATAGCTACATTAAAAATAATTGAGAAAACTACCACATGGATACACAGAACTATATCACTGATAGACTGCTGCTGGGAATGTAAAACAACAGAACCATTCTGGAAGACCATTAGACTGTCTTTTAAAAGCTAAATATATGGAGCTGAGGACATGGTTCAGTGGCTTCAACAGCCTGCAACTCTGAGAACAGAAGTTTAGATCCCCAGAAACCATGTGAAACTGAGGAAGCTAAATGGAGAGCTGTAATCCCACAAGAGTCACAGCTAAAGGTTGCTTGGGCAGGTTGGCTCTAGCCTTGTGGGCTCAGCAGGAGACCCTGTCCCAGGAAATAAAGTAGAGAGTGGTTGAGGATGATATCCAATGTTAACTTCAGACCTCCACATACATCACACATATGCATGTGCACCCATACCCACAATTGTACCCACACACATGCAAACATTCACACACACACACACACACACACACAACTAACGAAGACACACACACACACACACACACACACACACACACAAACATGGACCAGAAAAAAAAAAAAAACTAAGTTAATTACTACCATGGGACTCACTCCTGGGAATTTACCTCAGCAAAACAAAATTCTATTCACAGAAAAGCTTGTACTTGAATGTTTATAGTGAGTTTTTTTTTTTTTTTTTTTTTTTGTAAATTCTAGAATTATAACATTTGCAGGCATCCTTTAACAGAAAGATTGATAGATAAGCTGGAGTGCTCTTGTGTCATGGAATGATACTTGGCCATAAAAGGGAACACACTGTTGTTACATGAAACAACTTCAGTGACAACAGAGAAATAAATATGCAATGATAAAAGCCAGTCTCAAAAGACTGCAGAATTCCACTTACAAAGCACTTCAATAATACAAAATTTTTAGAAATAGGTTGAAATACTGTGAAATAGAGTTGCAATGGCAGGAAGGGAAGTATATGAGGTTACAGAAAGATGAAGGGTTGTTGCTGGTGGATACAAGGGCCTACAAGTGGGACGCAATTCAATACCCCTAAATGCACAGCCATACCGAGGGCCCTAGTGGAATTAAGACATCTGAGTATGGAGCTGGGGCGAGAGGGCTCAGCAGTTAAGAGTACTGGTTGCTCTTGCAGAAGATCCACATGGTAGCTAAAAACTGTCCTTATCTCCAGTTTCAGTGGATCTGATGCAAAAGCATGTGGTATAATTACATATATGTGGATAAAACACTCATACATATAAAAGAAAAGGAGAAGGAAGAAGGAAGGAAGGAGGAAGGAAGGAAGGAGGAAGGAAGGAAGAAGGAAAGGAAGGAAGGAAGGAGGAAGGAAGGATGGAAGGAGGAAGGAAGGAAGGAGGAAGGAGGAAGGACAGAAGGAGGAAGGAAGGAAGGAAGGAAGGAAGGAAGGAAGGAAGGAAGGAAGGAGAAAGGAAGGAAATGAAAGAGAAAGAAACATGAGTCAGACTGGCAAACTGTCTCACAGTCACTGTGCTGGTTGTGGCACTGTGCTACGTATGACTTTGTATAATTTTCCAACTGGGGAATATTGAATAAAGTATACAGGAGCATGCACTACATTATTTTTATAACTACATTTGTCTTTCAAAAATATCTCTATGTCCTAACTGTCACCCAATCTGAAGTTTTCCCTGGATATAACCATTTTCCATCTCCCTGCTTCACGTTTCCATCACATTGTGTAGAGTTTCTAGAATCAGTTGATAGACTGACAGTTGTTGCATATCTTAGTACACAAAGATTTCAGAACCCTTTCATTTGCCCTCATAGAAATCATGACTTTGGATAGTCTATGGTTAGTTTCTAGTGCATAGTGACTGGCAATTTTATGTGTGCTGTGAAAGCAACACATGTGGAAAAAGAATCTCAGAATTATTGCCAGGCTTTTATTTACTTGAGAAGTGTTATAACCTGCAAGCATTGTAAAAGATTTTATATTTAAAGTTATATAATGAATAAAGTTATATTTTATAGCTTACATAAAACAAATTTTTAAAACAGTTATTGGATTTTTTGAGACAGGGTCTCCATCTAGCCCCAGCTGGCCTGGGACTCACTGTGTAGAATAGGCTAGCCTCAATCTCACATATATCCAACCTGCCTCTACCTCCCAAGTGCTGAGATTAAATATATGTGCCATCACGCCTGGCCATTTATTCTAATATTTTTAATGTAAAGCGTTCCCTTACATTAGCTTTATCCTTTGGCTGCTCATATAGAGATTCTATTTCCTACATGTACCATGCTCATTTGTCCTTTATTTTTGGTTTTCCTTTCCTCAAAGAATAAGGAAAGCACTCCTCTTCTGTTAGATCATATATAGAGATATGTACATGCATATGCTGTTTTGTACCCTATAGTTTGCAAAAAAAAAAAATAATAACAGCAACAACATGTCCTTTCTTTTATCCAGCAGCTTTCAGTAATTTCTCTTATGAATGGTTTTCAGCAATTTAATCATAGCTTTCTATCATTTCTTTAAAATAGAGGCATATTCCTCTGTTCATGATCTTATTACATTTTCTAAAAAACATCAATATAGTTCTTCCTGAAACATAACACAAAAGAATAAATTTTTTAGCCAAAGATATCCATGAAAATCTGTGACTTTCACCTTAATGGAAAAATGGCTTTCTTCAGGATGGGTCTGAAGGTTTGACTCCTCAGGGTCTGGAACTGAGAATATACCTCATAACATATTTGTTTTAGATAAGCTTTTATTTTATGTAACATTTGAAGAATGAGCAAGTGAATATAAGATTAATGCAGAATAAACTGAAATAACTTTTTGCCTATGTTAATAATTATGCTTATTATGTCAAGTCCTCTGGCCATTTTGCACTTACTATTTTGGTTGATCTCCTTAGCTTTGTGTGCTAATTGTACCTCATAAATCAATGTGAACTGCTATAGGACAAGAATTCAGAAATAGCAGAACGCCATACTGAGTAGAAAAACAGTCTAGTTATGCTTTTAATATCTATTTTAAAAATTATGATGCTTGAATTATTTCTATCTCATGAAAAGTTCTTAGGACTCTTATCCACAAATATATTTCAGAATCTACTAGTACAATGTATAGGCTGCAACAATTAAATGACAAAATGTTTGGTAGAAGTCAAGAAGGTGAACTGCAAACAGATGACTTCATTGTGATAACATTACAAATAAAAAGAAAAGGAAAAAAGTATTCATTATACTAGATTCTAAAGAATAATTCATGAAGGATAATGTTGATTGGCAAGTCGAGTTGCTTTATTTGGGGCTTAAATGTCCTTCGTATGAGAACATTTTACACACGAAAATCTCTGTAAGTACCAAATTAAAGTTTTCACTCATGTAAACTGTTCTAAGTATTTAATGTATTCGAGAATAAACAATGATTCTTAATTCAATTCAATATATCAACTCTTAATATTTAATTCAACAATAGATAACTGGAAGGTTGATTTGTGTTTTACAGAAATAAAATTATTCAGCCCAAACTCTTGAAAGCTATAATTATTCAGTCTTTAGTAATAGTCAGTAATATAATGCCAAGTTGGATGCTTTCCTAAGATTATGATGAATTTTAATTTCAAATATGTTACACGTATGAATGTAGTAGCATTTTAGCAAAGGAAATAGATGATTACCAAAAAATTCCATATTCCCACAATTTAGAAAGTCCAGGTATCAGTGCCCTTGCCTTTAAAACTGGGTAATTTAAGGGGCTAGAGAGATGGCTTAGGGGTTAGGAGCA